ATAAATAAATAAATAAATAAAATAATTCATCAATAATGCAATTTAATCATAACAACTATAGTAACTAATTAAACGCCCTATTAAATAAAAAAGTTTTAAGTCTAATTTTAAAAATATCTAAACTGGAAATAGATCTTATTGTGGTAGGAAGCAGATTCCAAAGTCTAGGGGCGGCACAACTAAACGATCTATCTGCCAGGGTCTTCTTGGATATTATTTTCGGGAAAGTTAATAAAGCTGCGGAGTCATCGTTGCACCTTAAATTATACCTAGACGGCGGCAAGACAGATATTAAATGGCACAAGTAATCGGGCGCCATACCCTGCAATACCTTAAATGTAAGAAGAATTATTTTATATTCGATACGATAACAAACAGGCAGCCAATGTAATTTGCGAAGTAGAGGTGTGATGTGGCACGACTTCCGAGCACAATAAACCAAACGAGCACTAGCATTCATAACACGCTGCAGTTTAGACAACTGATATTTCGGTAACCCATACAGAAGGCTGTTACAATAATCAAGTCTACTTGTTATAAATGCATGAACTAGTGTTTCGGTGCGTGGTGGAAACTAGTGTTTCATGAAACTAGTGTTTCATGAACTAGTGTTTCGGTGCGTGGAATAGTGGTGTTTATTTACCTAGCTGTTTCATGGTGAGATAAATATCCACCACTTTCACCAACACTGAGGTTAATAATTGTTTTAGTATAATTACCACACAGAAACTAAGTAAAATATGGTTGTTTCTATCAAAATATCAGAAAATGGGCAGAAATTAAATTGTTGTGCAATTTTGTCTCTTCGGCTGCCTGGAGGAGAATGACTGGCTAATCACTTCCCAACAAGCCAATCCACATGTACAGAAAGCAATTTATAATTTAATAAAATATTAATATTTATAGAGAGAAAATGTATTTAAAAGTGGTTCTTTCCATGGGACCTGAAGAAAATAATATTAAATTGTGGACACTTTCATAATTATACAGCATGACTCATTCTTATATTCTAGATATTAGATAACTGTTTCCAAATGATGAAATTAAGGTAAAGAACAGGAATGTTTTATGTCAAGGCAATCTTAGAACTTAGTGCACACTTTTATCAACAAATATTAAATAATGAAGTTCAATTTGTGTGTTACAATATACTTTGCACACATAGTAGTCATGTTTGGAAAAAGACGTTTAGTAGTGGTACCTTTGTTCAATTATAGGCAATAAGTGTATGATGCTTACTACAAATAAAATTTCCTTACAGTGTGTAACTTGAACTTTTAGTGTTCCTTCTAAACATATTGAGCATCAAAGTTTTTTATTAAAATACTCTGAAAGGCACAGAGGTATAATGCGAGACATGCTGACATCGGTTGTAAGCTCCCACAGCAGTAATGTGTTTCTATAATGTAAGACAACCTTTAGAAGGTTCCCTGTCATGAGTAAAGAACAGCTGTAAGCTACTTGTCAACAATTTAATTCACTCTGACTCCTGTGTAGATGTCCCTTACCAATATTTTTATTGAATAAACGCTGATAGTTTCTAAAGAAACTGTTTGGGGCTGCGTTGGTGGGGATAACGAAATAATTTAGATATATCAACAAAGTTGAAATGGTAAATTGGCCACCGTAGTGATTACAAAAGCTGACGTTTCGAGCATTAACCCTTCGTCGGAGCAAAACGTCAGCTTTTGTAATTGTTACGGTGGCCAATTTACCATTTAAACTTTGATGATATATCCAATATTTTTATTACCTGGCTGCAGGGTCACAAATGTCTATTATTACCACTAAGAAAGGAGCAATGCGAAGGAAGAAGAGAGATGGCATATAGGTTAAACTTCCTTTGTCCCTCCTCGTGTCCCCCCACACACACCACTCATGGGCTTCCGAAGTAGAAGTGGCTGCACAACTTTTGAACTCTGATTTAAAAGATATCAATGGTTGGCTATCTAACAATGAGATGGTAGTCCACCCCATTAAATCAGAGGCCATGAAGATTGGAACTAAACAAGCTTTAAAAAAAGCAGGTGGTACTGAAATCAAATTTAATGACCACAAACTTAAAGAAGTATCATATTGTAAGTACCTCCGAGTGTTTGTAGACAGTTCCCTAATTTGATCACCTCACATTGATCATACTTGCAAACAAACTTATCACAAATTGAGGCTGTTAAACCGGCTATCTTGTTTCTTCTGCTCTGATGTATTAATTAAGATCTACAAGGCTACTATCCTTCCTATTCTGAATTATGTTTGTATTGTATGGATGGATTGTCCAAAGAAATTGTCTAACAAGTTGGAGAGACTTCAAAATCAAGCCTTAAGAATTATTTTCTGCAAGAATATAACATGTTCACAAGTTTTAAGGGACCAAGTAAAGATCTTGACTCTATTCAACTGTAGACGTTTGTTTCGATTTATAACTTCACTTAAAATAGTGAATGATATTAACTGTCCAAAGCAATTCCAACACAAACTTATAAAAGTATTTGCTCTTGCTCTTTGAGAGATGACTCTTTACTGAATGTTCCTAATGCTAAGTCGGGTTTCGGTGAAAAAACTTTTGAATTCGCTGCTGTAAGAGACTGGAACTCTCTACCCAGGGATATCAGAACTATAATTAATCTCAGCACCTTTAAAAGTAAACTCTTTGAATTTTTATTACAAGAGGATCACGATCAACATAAATGCTCTGTGGCGTAACTGACTAGTTGAATTGTTATTTTTTATTAATTAATAAGATGTTCATAGAAAATATGTTCTATATACCTTAAGGACTATGTTATAATTTATTTATTTTCTTATTTTTACTATTTTGTATCATGATATTTTTAGTCCTTTTTTTATGCATTTATTATAATTTTATTATATACAGATTTTATACTATATATATGCACATGGGTTAATACCAGATAGTCCTTTTAGTCTATCTGATCCATTATTTTGCATTACAGTGAAACCTGAGTTTTGCGACCACCCCAAATGTCACGCAAAAGTGGTCGTTAATGACAGGTGGTCGTTTAAGCAGGTTTGTGAGTGACGTCATCAACTTGAAATTTTTTCAGGTATCCATGATATATATATATATATTTAAATTTGAATATACAGGTACAGATAACTTAGTCATACAAAACACAACAAATCAATCATTTTTTATATTAAAATGCTTTTTATTGCTAGCACTAGGATTTTAATTATTCAACGCGTGATCTATCGTAATGGCAGAAAAAACTTTGTAACTTTGGATTGTTTTGCGTGCTTGTCAAATTTTACTTGCTCTATCGCGCTTTCAATGTTTAACAAAGCGTCTACAATTTCAGGCTTCAAGTTATTTTTGAAGCTGAATCGTTTTAGTTCAACAACCATTCTAGCTGCTTCCTTGACCGTGATCTCAGGAGATTGGTCTTCTTCTGAATTTTCGCTTCCTTGTTCTTCGTCGTCTTCATCAGCATCTGAGTCAAACCCATTCTTGGCTTGTTCGATCAAACGCGTTTCCCAATTTGGATCATTTACTCCATCACAACTTGTCAACAAAGCATTATCCTGATTGGCATATTCTTCTAAGGTAACGCCATCTAACAAGGGTAGAATTTCCTCATCAGTAACGATGTCTTGACTATCGCCTTCGCTCTCGGCAACCTCGTCTACACTAATGAAACAAATGAAAAACAAAAACAAATGAGTTACCTTATTTATTTGACTATAAGCCGAGCGATTTTTACAGAAAACATTGCCAAAATCTCGAAAATTTGAGCTAGAGAAGGGTTCGCGGCTTATAGTAGATTTCTTCACCTTCCGTGCCGTCTAGAGTGTTAGAGATTCTGAAGGTTTTATAGGAGTGAAAAGATCTTGCGAAAGTATTTTCACAATTTCGAAAGTAACCAATCAGAATTGCCCATTCCCACGCTTGGTAAACAAACTTGTCACATCTTACGGTCGCTTGTCCTTTGCATATTAAATTACTCACGCGCGAGTGTTAACGTCTAAGCCTCTTACGACAACCAATGTGATTTTTTTTTTCACAAAATGTTAGGTTTACCCATAATTAACAATTCAGTCTTGTAATAATAATCTATCTTTTTCACCTTGCTGCTTTGATTCCACAGTGTGCAAAGCACTTTTGAATCGTTGTTTCAGGCAACAAGCTCCATGCATGTCGTAACCACATGATAGCATCAAATATTGTGACTTTCTTGGCTAAGGAAGAGGCAGATTCCACTTCGTCGAAGGCAAAGGCAATCTTGCGGAGGAGTTTTTTGCGGTATTGTAGCTTAACTGCCTGTATGATGCCAGCATCGCAGGGTTGGAGTTTGGCGGTTGTGTTTGGTGGCAAAAATACTAACTTTATGTTGCTTCTTTCCACCTGGGGATGTGCTGCACAGTTGTCGACAATCAAAATTATCTTCCGATTGGAATTTCGCATTTGATTATTGACAATGTCAAGCCATTCGCAAAACAATTGTGAAGTCATCCACGCTTTACTGTTGTGACGGTAGATGATGTTCAGAGCGCCAATATCCTTCCCTTTGAAACACCGGGGCTTTTTAGATTTTCCAATAACTAGTGGCTTGAGTTTACGTCCTGTTGCACTACAAGCGAGCAGCAAGGTCAATCGATCTTTGCTTTTCTTTCCACCCGAGCATTGTTCACCACGAAGAACTAAACTTTTAGTTGGCAACGCTCGAAAAAATACACCAGTTTCGTCAGCATTGTAGATGTCTTCCAGCGCGTAACCTTCTAGGTAAAAAAAAAAATGCTTTTTCGACACTTTTCTGGACTTGGAAAATGTTTGTTCTTTGAAACGTGTTTAAAACGCGCATAAACTGCCATAAAATAAGAGCTTATATGATAACTTTTACGAAAGTGGTCGGTCATCACAGGTGAAATTTAATGTTTGGGGCATAAAAATACGGTCGCTGGTCGCGTTAGGCAGGTGGTCGCTCATTACAGGTACTTTTTAACTAGATATTATCCGTGCCAGAAAAAGTGGTCGTTAATGGCAGGTGGTCGCAAAACATAGGGGTCGCAAAACTCAGGTTTCACTGTACAAATAAAGCTTGTTATTATTATAATATTAAATAGAGAGAACTTAGTGGGAGTCAGTAATTCACTAACACTTCACCAACAGCCCCTGTTACTAAAAATAAGTCAATCAAATAAATCTGAGAAGTCCTTGGTTTCATCTGAAGCTTGGAAACAGCGTGGGAAATTTGCACAGGGAAACAAAAAAGGAATGATTCTGCTGTCCAGTTGTGAATGCCATTTGTTTTTTCTTGTTTTCATGTGCTCAGCCAAAGCATCTGTAAAGTTTGCCAACAGTTCTCTATGTTCAGCATTTGGTAAAGGTGAAGTCTCCTCTGGGTCAGCCTCAACATTGAACATTAGAGGAGGTTCACAAAACTGTAAGTTTCTGCTATCTTGGTGGAAGAAAAATGAGGATAAGATACATGAGCATTCAATCATTTGTCTCCCTTACTATAATTGTAAATCCCAACCTTTCCACTGCTGTACTCACAAGTTCTAAGGTTTAGCAAGCCTCTTTCATGTTTATCATTTATTGATGACAGAGGCAAGCAGCTTGATAACACTCGAAATTAAGTAGTTCCAGACCATACTAATGAAAATGTGACATCTTCCTTCCAGAACAAGGTTATTGACAGTGACCCTCACTGCTACATGCCTAAGGTTAACAAAGCTATCCACACAACACTTCATCCACAAGAAGGACAACATAATAGAAAAGCTCCAGGGAGGTAAACCAATTACATGGAATCAAAAAGCACAACATGCAGACAACCAAAATGCACACCCATGAGGAAAGGGCATACAAACGTACCTTTGGAAGTCATTAAGAGGACATGTAGAAGTAAGTTACTGGTCAGAAGAGAAAATGCTAAATAATTCTTAAAGTACAAGTTAGTTCAAAGAAGATAACAGATAATCACAGATAACTAAGAGTGAGTTGTGTCAGACTTGATAATCACCTTTAATTTCTGCATACACAACTTTATAAGACCCTGATGTTATTGCAGCTGGCTTGGTCACATCCAGGTAATGGAAAATGTACTTATGCTGAGAATTCACTGATGAGTTCAGCACAACTGGTAACAAACTTTTGCCATCTAAATACATGGCCTCAGCACTTTCATTGAGCAATTCCAACACTGTTGGTACAACATCCATTATTGTCACTGGAGTCTTGATTATCTGATTTTCTTTAAGTTTTCCTTTCCATCTCATCACTGCTGGAACACGGATGGTTTGTTCCCAAATTCTATTCACACTGCCACCTAAATGAGATTGTTTTCTTTAAATTTTTGTTGTTTATAGAAAAACAGTCACTGATCACAGTTACACAATAGTATTGCACGGATTAAAGCAAAGTAAGAAAAGATTCTGCTTAATTATGGAGAATTTTACAATGAAATTCGCAAGTTTCCAGAGAGGACTATTTATGTGAAGCCAATCTTATAGCTTAGAACAAACTCTTAAGAAACTACAATTAAATAATATCTAGTCTTCCTGTTTGAAAAATTACATGTATCTTATGTTTCTGTTTTTGGTAATTCTTTTTCAAGATCACCTTTTTCTTTTCAAAGGTTTAATTAAAGAGGGTAATGAAAAGATAATTCCATCTTGTATGGTTGAGGAGTTAATCAAAAGACAGGATTCACCTTCTCTTCATAAAATCAAAATAAATAGTAATAACATTATCTAATGGCAAAGGAGGGATCACTCTCACCTTGCAGACACGAGGTTTCTCTTCCTCCATTGTCAGCCACACTACAACTTTCGTAAGTTTTATGAAAATGGTGACCAGTGGCTGATGTAAAGAAAACTAATGTATTATTTTCTAGATCATGTTCCTTTAATTTTCTTAATATCCTTCCAACACTCCAGTCAAGCTCCTTAAGAGCATCAAAATAAGCATCTTGTGACGAATTAGAAAATAGCCTTGATGCAAATTCTGGGTGATTAAGGTTCATGAAACTGAAAAAGAGAAGAAAAGGTTTGGAAGAAATTGATGATGACTCCAAAAATTGTACAGCATTCCTTGTAAACCGTAAGGTCAAGTTTTCGACAGCATATGGCTGTTCTATGATGTTGCTGTTTCGATAGAGAACGCAGCTTCTAACTTGAATGAAATCCATTGTGAAGTGTATAACATCATGAAGTATACTGCTGTATAAGATGAAAGCGATAATGACGATGAAAACAGTCACTATTTTACCAAGGCCATTATACCAACCGATAAAACCAACAAATGGTAGAATGTACAATAAAGGACTGAAAAACGCACAGACAGACTGCCATGTGTACACTGAATCAGATGTTGTCTTGTAGCTTTCCATGCATGGTTCTTTGTTTGCAGACGCCACGCCATACCACGAGTCGAATCCGTGATTGAGAGGTAAATATTCTGCATTTCTTCCCACTCCTAATCCCCACAAACCCACAAAACTTGTTGTGTAGCCCTTAGCTTTCAAATCTTCCGCTAGAGTTATCTCGGAGTGCTGTAAGCCTCCCGAAGATGCTAGAGATGGAATTTCTTCAAAATTCAGAAACTTACTCTTGATGATTCCAGTTCTCGGTGGCAACAATCCTGTTAACAAAGATGCAAGGGAGGCAATCCTTGAAGATTGACCGTAAAACCGTGAAAACACAACTCCTTCCTCAACCAAGCTGTCTAAGTTTGGAGTTTCTTGAGAATTATTATTGTAAAAACCCAGATCTTTCATAGAGAGATTGTCAGTCAGAAATATTATTATATTAGGAGTTCCATGAACTGAGTCATTAAGTGACAAACAAAGATGAAATATCAGAAAAGTAACCAAAGTTGCAAGTACCTTCGCCTCCATTTTATGTCGGATTTTACTGCGTAGGTGGTGTATCAGTCATGTAGTGATCATTTATCGCTGGCTCATAGTAGTTCCAGATCTCACTCTCTTCCGGTTGGATTTCGTCTGGGGAGGCGGTTGGTAGTATTGTTTCGATGTAATGACTTAATAATATAATTAGTTAGGATTAGTATTTCCTGTCATAAGAAATTTTAAATCTTTTGATCCTTTTAAGAATCCTTTTTCTAGCAAGCAAAACGTAGCAATGGAAAAAATCTTATTTTCAACTACAATAATCTTAGTTTCACACGTGAATGTAATAAAATTAAATTATTCTTCTTAAAACCCACCTGTTGGTTAATTTTCGTTTACTTTTAAATTTATTCGATATCATGGTGTTTTGTCGGCGCTGGCCATTGAGATCTTACTTTTTAATTATACTGAATGCCTAAAAACAAGTTTAATATGAGCCAGGCCTTCACACAGGTTGCATGTAGAAATATCGATGTTGGCTTGTCACAATAAGTCTTTGCAAAAATCGTAACCGCTAAGCCAGATCAAATTATTATAAATTTTGCACGTTTTTGTTCTTCACTCGTTTATCTGTCAATGTGGCTAAATACGCGTATTAAGTTGAATTAATGACGCATGACTTTCATTTGATATTATTTGCTACGTTACGGACACAAATGGAAACTATAAATTATTTATCTTTTCAAAACATAAGTCAGTTCTAGACCCCCATCAACTGAGCGAGAACCTGAGCTGGCAAAAACGATAGTAAACAATATTCCTTTAGAATGGTTCGTTCGTTGAGTTAAACTCCCCAGACCAATGAACGGAATGCCGAATAAATCGATAGAGGTAACTTCTCCACTGATCATCTGCGTTTGGCTTTCACAGAAAAACCTGTTTGTTTTACGACGTGTAAAAACCACAGAATTATTTCAGACGAAAGCTGGAGGAGTTCTTATAATTTATATATGTTTTGGAGCCGTCCTGCTCGTGTTTAAGTTCTTTTTGTTTAATTCTCTGTCCACAGAAACCGGAAAAACGTCTTTCCGAGGAGCAAGTTGCTGGTAAGTTCTAGGAATAGCTGTGGTCAGTGTTTTGTTGTTGATTCCGATAATTTTGGTCACCAGCAAAATTTTACTTAGCATATTAATCGACAATGAATGTTGCCGTTGCGGGACCTGTGATTCTTTGTCTTGGACGGGTGAAACGGAATGGTCTTGCGAATAAAAACTAAACTTTGTGATGCTAATTGTGTTTTTGGTGAGCGCGTAACAGAACCGAAGTTAAGAATGAACCACGGTAACGCGCGCTTAATACGTAATGGAATAAACTTTCCATATGCCTTCAAAGCCATGCAGCAAAAGCTTTTGTGCTCCCTGTCATAAAGAAACTCGATCTTTATTTATTTCCAATCGAAAGAAGAGGCAAAAATGGCAGTCGTTGGTTAGTTATGTTCGGCGGCTTTTCGTTAATAGGGGATGCGCTCGAATACAAAACAAAGTATTTAGATGGAAAATTCTCGAAGTACTTTAGTGCGTAGAAACTGGATTGTATGCAAAATATCTTGGGTTTGATGTTTATAGAAACAATATATACTACACCTGCCGCCAGCTTTTATCATGTGAGGTGTTCTCATGCGGCACATGATCCGTGGACGCACATATTTAATTATTCAGAACGCCAGCTTTACAAACGTCAAAAATAGAATCGATTTGTGGTTTAGGTTTACCCCGCTATCTTCCACGGAAGAAAATCCTTACAGTGAACCGCTGGTGGTAATAGCTGTTTTTAAAATGAAAATGAAAATATGAATTAACTTGGTAAATCGTGATATGTTCTAAACAAAAGCATTAACACGCGGGATCTAGTTCAGTGCGAAAATAAATTACAAGCGATTGATATGATAAAGCGTTCGCTGTACACGCTTTAGTTGTTATTCAATACGTGAAAGCATGAGATATAATTTAATTCGGTCACAGAAACGTGGGAGAGCTTTTTCGCCGGCCATAAATGAACATAATTCAACCGTGTTTTTGTGTTATTATTTGTACCGCCCTACTCTGTTCCAATTGTTTTACAAAGGAACTTGCAATAGTTTTTGAGAGATCGATCAGCTTAAAACTAGGAGCAAAGGATGTGTTCAAAACTTTTGAGTGTCCTCCTGAAATCTGAAAAGAAAATGTTTTTCTTGTATTGCAAAAATGACGAGACTTTTACGAGCGCTGATGCTATATAGTCTTGGTGAGCGGTGGCTTCATTTTGATAACAAATTTACAATGACATTACCAAGAGCTTTTTTCCAGAACTACCTAGCTGTGGACGTATTTTACTTTTCATTATTGACGTTATTTCATTTTACCTTTAAAAGTCACACGAAAGGTTTATTGTGTGTTAAAGAAAAAGTTTCAGAAAGCACAGGGGCAATGGTACAAAAAAGAGTAACCCTAAATTTCATCCTTGCCGATAAAAACCAATGAAAACCTTTTTTTATCTGGTAAAAAAATTTATACCTCCGTGTCATAGAACCCATTAGCTTTATTAATATAAACATGGAAATAATTCGATGGGTTCTCTGAGTTCTAGTCATTTCGTGTCTTCAGACAAGGAATACAAGCTGTCGGAATTGGGGGCGATTCTACAAACAAGAACCCTTTTGGTTTTCTTCGTCGAAACTACAGAACACTTTCTGTCAAAGTACATGTACCATAGAGAATATCTTGACTCACTTGAGACTGAACTGTTTGCAAACTGATGAGGGAATTTTAAAGAAATGAGCCACAAGGATCATTGTGGTCTAAAGACTAATTTAATGTTAAGGTCAAACTTTTTCGTGGAACCTTGATTTGAAATAGGAGCCAATAGTTATCATCACTCCAAATAATGAATTAGTAAATATTCCCAAATTTTCTAGAGCCTGAGTAAGGCCATGCACCCTTAGATTCACATAACGTTCAATACTGGACATAACCTTACCTTTTATCAAAAACCTTACCGTTATCAAACAATAAAACAGGAAAAACTGTGAAAAATTCTGTCAACTTTCTGTTTCCTTGTTGCTCGGTTCAATGTCCACTGACGCATAATAGACAATGAAACTAAGGAGAAGACAGGTTCCCGCCCAAACACGCCATCACTTCATGGATTGAGTAGGAGTGGGAAAGATTCGGCAACTTCAGTTATCCTGCAGACCGACAGCACGATATTTGAACAATTACTACTTCAACTGATCGAGTGAATTGTCAGTTATCAACCGTAACTAAGCACGGGGTTTTCCATCACAGTTGTGCTTTGTTTCGAAGTGAAGGCTTCATATAGCGATTACCTTTGTTACTCCGCAATCGCAATCGCAATCATAGCAGTATGTCATTTTACTATTATACCATCAGTCAATACAAGATTCCTCAATCTCTCTGTATTTTCTTGCTCCAGTCCAGTCCTTAACAGTTCAACCATTTTGATTTTGAATGTAAGCGAACCAGTCATACACGAATGGCTGCCTCTGTGCTGTGAAACAAACGTCTGTTTTATCATGTTATTTTACACCACAGTTAACTATGTTTACACTAAGGCAACAAATCGTCATTGCTTTTTCCAGATTAAATTAAGACACTTCTAGACATATTTTGCATTAAAGAGACGTGCTTGTCTTGAATACTTTTATTGAAAACCCTCATTTTATAACCTTGCCTACATAATGTGAAACGGGAGTACATTATGGTCGTCACGCTGCAAACTAACAAAACTTGCAAATAAACGAACGTGATTTGTTGACCTCCGGTCTATATCACTTGAGCATGGGAAGCTACTTAATTTTTAACTTAATTTGTTGGGTATAGCGTTATTTTGATTAATAACTTTTACTTGAGGGTTTTGATAAAGGATAAACATGCCATAACACTTCGTGTATCCAAGGAATTCAGGCACGATTTTTCTCAAGGGACGAAAATGAGTAAACCCTCTTCTAAAGCTACCTTCGAAGGAGCAAACCCACCCCAAATTGCTGGTAAGGTTTACAAGCTTGCTCAGTGCCATTGAGAATTTGTGATCAAGGTTTTAATCCTTGCAAGATTAACGGAGTCTTTCACTTATAATTAGTCATGTTTGTAGCCGAAGATTACCCTCAGTTGTACTAGACTTCGAAACAATTCTTTCTCGTTACAACTAAGAAAAGAGGAAAAAAACGTAGAAACAGAGAAACTTGAAATGTCCATAGAACTCACGATTCAATTTGGTAATGCGCAGAGACAAAAATATACTTCGCGTTTAAGGCTACCGTTATAATAGGTAATTTTCTTTTCTAATCAATCGTTTGTCTTGTAACAGTGATGAATCGCAGTTGAATTGATTAACAAATGCCGTCCATCAATAATTTAAATGTATCTACCATCTTATCCTCAAGAAAAAGTAAACATCATTCTAACTCAAACGAAACCGCTACAGTCAGTTTTCTAACTAAAAAGTATCTTACAGAAGTAGAATTCGAATGGCCAAGCCTGCTATTTGCTCAAAACTCCCAATCTAAACTTTAATCAAATAAACTACTACCATTTTTTTCTTCAAATGCTTTTGTGTATCGACACCCTGGTGCGTCAATTCCAAAGACCAGGAGACTCTCTCATTAGCTGAGGCAGTCACTGAATCAAACACTATTGTCAATTGTATGTTCTGATCGTATGCGTGGAAAAAGACTCACCAGTCAACTGACCCACATCACCTGAGTCCTACAGCCAATAACATCACGGAAGAATTAACCAATCAGATTTCACGAATCAGACTTGCAACTGTCGACTAACAAACAGCTCCTCACTTGACCCGGATGATGACTTCCGCTGAATGATGACTTCCGCTGAATGATGACTTCCGCTGAGGTTGTCAAGTCGGTAGTCACTGTTACTGAGAGCAGTTCTTTTTAGCTTTCTTCCCGTTAGAACGATCAGATTACATAATAGAATTTCTCGATAAACGTCGTAACTTTTTCTTTTTAGCACAAAGAACGAAGTAAAGAATATAGCAACGGCCAGGGCACCCTTAAGACTCACTTATTCCAAGGAAACCGTGAACAAATTGAATGAAATGCTCTTTTTCCCTAGAACTCCGCGAGGCGTTTTCCTTGTTCGACAAAGATGGCGGTGGATCAATTTCATCGTCTGAACTGGCCGCTGTCATGAGATCCCTGGGACAAAATCCAACAGAAGAAGAACTCAAGGAAATGATCGCTGATGTGGATGAAGACGGTTTGTATATATTTTTATTATGTTGTGTTACTTAAAAGAAAATTGCTCAGCCACGAGAACAGACTCTTACGCATTCTCTGGTGTTCCTATGATCAAACCCTCCAGTCTGCTACTCTCTGGATTTGTTCTCGGTTGTCCCGAGTTAGAATTCTTGGCTGCACTTTGTATGTAGCCAACTGGTCGGTCTCTTGCCGGTTGGAGTTTTTAAACACTTTGTTTCTTCAGAATGTTTCAATTTGTTCGTATTGGCCTTGAAAAGTCCCATTGGGGAAGTGGCCAATTAAGTTTTGTTTCGAAATTTATGAGGATAAAACATTTCACTTCTGCGCTTTGCAATCTATTGTTGTTTTATTTATTGACAGGAAATGGTGAGATAGACTTTGAAGAGTTTCTTCAAATGATGTCCAAAAAAATTACAACATGTGATACAGAGGAGGAAATCAGAGACGCTTTCAGAGTGTTTGACAAAGATGGAAACGGTCTGATTAGTTCGCATGAGTTACGACAAATTATGATGAATCTCGGTGAGAAACTAACAGATGAAGAAGTGGATGAGATGATGAGAGAGGCAGATCTTAATGGTGATGGGCAAATTGATTACGAAGGTAAATTATAAAGTCATCATTGTTTGTGAATAGATCAACATCAACTAGCACTGATAGAGCGCTACTCGATTGAGTGTCCTAAAACGAACCAAAGAAATCACAACAGCCAATCATAGTAAGGTAAATATCACCAGCGACCAATGAGAACTCGAATTAAGAACAAACAAACTGACTGTAGCGCGTTTCAGTTTTGAATCCGATTGGCTAAGAAAGTGGCGCGACTGTTCTGGACTAATCACACAGCAAAGAAAAGTAAAACCAAAGCAATCCAGGATTACTTTCGGCACTCGATTGAAAATGTCTCCAGTCACTTGTTTCTTTTAGAATACTTTAGGGGCTCCTTAATAGTCTGCCCACAAATTTCAAATTATCAGTGTTCTTGTGTTAAAGTTTTCCAACTTACACTGAACATGGGATTTGCGCAGTGATGCTTGCTCAAACAGGACAGGACTTCCTTCCTGATATCTGAAACGGACGGAACTGAGGCTTGCTAGTAGCGGGTCATTGCTGAGACCCTGCTGAAGGATTTAGAAAACATTCATATACATATTTCAAATAATAAATTCTTCCATTCCTGATGCACTAACTGAATCACTGTTCTTTTTTCCACTGCAGAATTCCGATTTTTGATGACAAAGTAACGACGTTTTGCCATGTGAAAAGGGCTCAGGCGCTTAAAAAGGCAGAGAGCTCTGAAGCTTGATCGAAGCCACTGCATTTGTCCAAATTGAGTAACCTTTATCAACAAGGGTTACAAGTTGAAAATGCCGTCGAAGTATATAGCTATGATTAGAAGGGAGGCAATTTGCAGTGCAAAAAGGCAAACGATTTATCGAGCTTCACCACCGGCATGCTTTTATGGACTCTGTGTTTGACACCGCTGTGTTTTGCAGAAAATTTGTCTGCTACATACATTATTCAAATCTCACATGGTCACATGGTCACATGTTACCATATAGTTATTATAGCTTGAAAGGAATCACAAGAAGGATTTTTTCTTTTCACTTCAAAATGAAGCTTATATCGCGCAAGCGATTATTATATATTTGACTTGCAAAGATCGAGTTTAAAGTTATAAAAGAAGCCAAATTTCAACCAAGAATCATTTTCTCTATACGAATTATTACGATAAACTGTGGAATCGGTTTTCTATTAACTTAATTATGAAGAGAAACATTAATCGTTATTTTTCTTAATTTACTTCTGACATTTTTAAGCGTTATTAGCTGCATTTTGGATAAGGTTACCTTAGGTTTGAGTGGGAAGATTTTATTCATCCACGTTGTTTTTAATTTACTGCGATTCTACTTGATGTGCGCACAGAAGGGCATTTGCTCTAATAACGAATCAAAGGCTTGGCCGAATTCTGTAACATATGTCTTGAATGTGAAAATAACATACAAACCTTGAAATCAAAAAACCAATATGTCGATTTTTTTGTGATATGCTAAAATACCACAATTGATCTTTTTTTTCTGATTTTATGATGAGAAATACATCCTCTTGCCAAACAGTAAATATGCCACAAGCGATTTTCATCGTTTGGTTAATCATTTACATGGTTAATGGTCTCTGAAATCTATTTCTTATATTATTTCTGCCATTTGTTCATTAGTACTGTTAATATTTTCATTACTTTTTTTAAAGAAAAGAATGCATGTGATTTCAGAGAGAGTTGGCATATCTGTAGAATATAAGGAAGTTTTTACTATCAACCATATTACATTATAATATTATAAAAGATAATTTCTAACTCTTGGTTGCGATAAGCGATTAACGACGAGCAAGGTTATCTATCCTGCAATAAGTTATGAACTGAAGTGATTTTTAAAAATGGAGACCAGTTCTTCAGTTTTACATTTTTACTCCGGCATTTCTCCAGCAAGTTATCTCAATAACTAAAACGTCAATAAAATTTAAATCAAACTGGCTTTGTGAATCATTCTATTATCGATTATCCTGGGGTTATGCTCGATGAAGAGCTTCACTGGACAGAGCATACCGACCCTATTTACAACCAAGTCAACAAGCGTTTAGGACTTTTCGCACGGATAAAATCTTGCAGCGAAGTGTCTATAACACCATTATTGGCCATCCTTTAAAGGAATATCTCACTTCTCTTGGCAACTACTTGAAAGCCAATCGGCAGCATGAGGGATTTATTCCTATCGTTTTCGTTTTTTCTTTTATTATTTTATATACTTTTTTATATACTTTTTACACTGTCTATTGTTTACATAGTTAGTATTTGTGTATTTCTCGTAAGGGCACACTTAATTTGGAGCCTCGCTCTGTTTTGTGTCCCGCACCCTTGTCCTCCGTTCTCTTCTGTGTCTTGTTCATATGTATATTTTAGTCCTTTTAGTATTGTAAGTATGGTGAAAGCGATTAAATAAGAATAAATAAATCCTTTGTAATACCGACACTACATGGGGTTTTTTTGTTTGTTTTGTTTTAACGACTTCACCGGGTGTGACTAGATCCGGAAGGGTTAGTGCAAACGGAACACAAGGTCCATGCGAGGCACCACCCCTCCACCCAATTCACCCTGGATAGACACTGCACAAAGATAGACCACAACACCGGGCACTACGTACCCTACTCTTTTCGAAGAGTGAGTACGTTCTTTAACGTCCCACAATTTTTATGACATATAAGGGCTTGTGAGACGGGACCTCCATTTATCGTCCCTATCCGAGAAGACTAGAAAGTCTAACCTTTTGCAGATATTATTACAAAGGCAGCACTTTCTACTCAGTTATTAAAGACCCTGAGTGTTGGTCCGGCCGGATTTGAACTCTCGACCTCCCGCACAACAGTCCGGCGCTATACCAATTGAGCTAACCGGGTGGCGGTTAACTGTGGGTCACTTCCAGGAAAACCCTTGAACAGTTACAAAATCGTGCTGCCCGCATTGTTTTAAGGTGAGTCCTCTAAAGACACTTTTAATGTTTTAGAGTGGGCCGAGTTAGAAATGATGCGAAAAAAGACATGGACGTGTTTTAGTTTAAAATATATATACTTAAATATACTAGTACCTCTAGTATGTTATTAGAAGCCAGAATGTACATGGCTATGACACTCGCAGAAGAACCGATTTGCACTTGCTCAAACCGAAGCTAAACCTTGGGAAACGAACTTTTAAATATTTAGGCTCAACCCCTTTTAATCTGTTGCCTCGTCACATTCAGAACGCAGAATACTTTCTTCCTTTAAATTTCTGATGATTACTTACGATTTTAAACATTTTGTATTTTTAAATTGTTATATCATGTATTTTTAAATTATTCTACTCTTTAGTCCAGAGCCCCTCTGGATACCAGCCTCATGGCTGATTGGGTCACTGTGGTAAAATAAAGTCCACCTTACCTTACCTATGCAGCAGAAGGCTAAAAACTTATAGTTGAATAATTTGAAGCTGCTTTTGAATGATGAACCTAGAGTATTCGACCTTCCACTACTCACCTCTCCCATCCCCCCCTCACTCATCCTTAGGTCACTTAGGTGCACGCGCTTCATATAGTAGGGCCTCGTCGCATAAAGCTGCACATTTTTCGGTCACCATTCCCCACTCTGACAACTGGGAGCATCTAAGGTTTCTTGTGGGTTTCTTTCTAGGTTCTAGGATTTCATCTCGCCGTTTGAAAACGAGTCATTTAAGCTGAGAGAGAATGTACTGTGTCTTTGCCCTTGAGTAATATTCACGTCTGTGTAGCGGCAAATGCCGCAGTAGTTGTTATTGTTCATTGCTCTCGTGACAAAATCTCTACAAAATTATGAAGCTACACACGGGGGCAAGCAAACACTACTTTGTCTACCCAGTTTAAAGGCAATGTTTGCCTTAGAAAAAGTTAATACGGAAATCCGGTTCGTTGATCTGCGACAGCGAGTCAATCAATCAATCAATAATGTGAATGAAGATGTCGGTTTACCACATGGGTCATTAACATTACATGTTGATCAAGCCTAATTACGGAATGCTTTCAAAAACATTGGAATTAGGCTCGATTTGAGTCGAAGATTGGCTTGCGGTGCAATAAAAAAGATAAACATTTTGGTCCAATTTCTCAGGGATGGTAAGTGGTAACTGTTGATATAAGTAATACAAACACTATGACAGATGAAATGAAGCAATAGACAAAATGTCGCTAAGCGGAAAGTTTCTTCCAATTTTTCCCTTAGGGAACTTTTGTATGAATGCGCAATATGAATTAATGCAAAAGAATGCGAAAGAGACGAGAGGAAACGTAAATTTATGGTACTATTCCTTTGAAAAGGGAACGTCACTACTCATTGTGAATAATCAGAGAAACTTTTTAAAGTCCGTGTAATTACGCACGAAACAAGAGTGTGAGAAAAAATTGATCGCAAGATGGAAATGAAGGATAACAGATAAGCTGAAATGGACTAGATCGCTTGCTGTCAGCACTATTCTAACACTTAAGAAGAAATCAGCAAACATCTTTTTTTCGCGCCTGGGTTAATTCTTATATTTTGCACGTCAAGTTATTTCTAACCAGATGTGTTCACGGTTTATTCATAAAATTGTTCTCCCAAAGGCAAATGTTTAATTATTCTCCGCCGTTGAAGGCCTGACCTTAAATTTTCATGAACTTGTTGTCATAATCAAGTCAAGAAACAAATCAGTACCTTAAGGCCAGATTATTTTTAAAGCACTACAGCCGTTCTTTCGCTATGATCTTCCACAAGTACCAATATTCGATAAAATACAAAACAGGCTGTAATTAACTTCATAAGTCACAACTATTCAGTTTGGAAGATATCATAATTCTCAATTCAAAGGTGGTGGACGAGAAGTTCCTGAAGATCAAGTCATGGCCGTTTATCTATAGCTTTACAGCAAACTTCTGGTGGTCCTTACATTTCGCTTTGGGGTTTGAGTGATAAAATTCAAAACGTTTTACTTTTGCTCATTGACACCTCGTAAACGGCCATGGCCATTATTCAAATCAGCTATTTCTGCATGAGTTTTGTTTTTC